TTCATCAGCCATTCGCCGAGGTCGGATCCGAATTCGGACCCGACTAGGATAGGTATATATTGAGACACTCCCTGTAGCTAGCTCTGTAGACTTTTGATATCCTTTCGTACAAGGCCTATAGGTGGCTTGTTGAATCTAGGCTCTTTGTGATCCCACGCACTCCCATATGCCTCTGAGTGATCCTACGACCGAAACAGATCCGACCTGCCTTACCTGCGCCGTTACAAAGAGGTTAAAGTAGGTAAGAGGAATGTGGCGGCATATAGAGCGTGTAGATATTATTCTCCTTACAAAGCTCTTGAAACTTAAGAAACTAGTGGCTCTTATAGCCGTTAAGAATAAGCAGACAACGTGTGCCAACAACGCAAGTCTTTATGTGAGCATTAAAGTGCTTTAGCTAGGCAATACCTAGCTTGTTGTTTATCTAGCTATTGTCGCTAACTGCGATCGCCTAGTCGCGTAGGATCTCTGCTTCCTTATACTAGGCGGATAGATAATATTTACTAGCGAAGATAAGGAATAGTAGAACTGCCTAGCTAGATACACGCGTGCAAACGAACCCCCACAACCTCTATAACAGCATAGCCGTTTCCAAATCATACATTTGCGTGTAAGACTAATTCCATGTACAATGCTCATGCTTATGTGTTACACGGGGTTCGACTATACTTAGCTAGGACTCGATCCGGTTTAGGGCGAGTCAGCGGGTTCGTGGTAAGCCGTGTGATTGCCGAGTAATTCAGGTGGAAAAGAGTTATGGATGTTTAACCGATAGTAAAGACAATCAATTCTATGGTAAGATAGAATAACAAAGTACCAATCTTGTTAAGTAAAGAACTTGTAAGAGAGTACAGTATAATGAGTTGACCACAACGAGTGTAATAATGAAATCCAACACATTCTTATACCCATCGTGTTCTGTCCTGATGCTCCCTATTCTCCCTCGGAAGCATGTTCCCATGGGAGCAGTGGGAGCACAATTCTCCCAAGGCCTCCCATTCTCCCTTCCTTGGCGGGAGCATGGCTCTTGGCGGGAGCACACGTCACGTGATCACCGCGGGGTTGTCGTCGTGCCTTTGGTGTCATCCTGAGTGGTTCTCCAACCACTCGCCATTCCAACAAGGGAAGAATCCTTCTGCTTGTTACTTGTAACATTATGCTCATGCCATAGATGTCTTTCTCTAGTACAAGAGCCCAATCAATGCCTAGACTCATGCTTACTTAGTTACTTGCTTACTTGCCGTCCTTGTGTTTGAACTTGTACATGCATTTCACTTCCCCCCCACCCCACACACAGGCCTCCAACATGACGCACTAGCTGAATCCAAAACTGCATTCATGTGTAACGTGACGGATAAGCGAGTCGGTCAGACAAGCGAGTCGGTCACCCTACTAACTTTGATCACCCACCACACCTTTGCGTACAATGCCTCCAAGCCACGCTTCTTAGTTAATCTCTCACGAGGCAGATATTTAGCTTACTCTCTCTTCTTTAGATAGAAACTAAATCTAAAGTACCTAACGCGCTGCTATAGCCTTTGATATTCTAAAATTAACACTAATTAACTAACGCGCTAGGAAGCGCGCGCGACGCAATTGCTAGCCTAACTTAAAGAAGCTTACTAAGCTAGAAGAGGAGGTAATAGTTAGTTATATACTTAATCTTAACTTACGTGGATTTGCGCCTACGTACGCCGCTATACGCGATATGGCTAATAAGCTGCTAGCTACGCGCGGCGCTAGCTAGGTTAGGCAGAAGTAGCTAGCTAACTTTGTTAAGCGTACAGACAGTCTTACAACGCGTTTTAATTAAGCGTACAATAGGCAAAGAGCTCTATGTAAAGATCTAGTTCTAATTAAGAGCTAGTTTAAGCTTATAGAGCAGACAAGGCTAAGTATAGTATCTATAATAAGGATATCTACAACTTTAACAAAGCTAGCTTTATAATAGGCAAGATCGCAACTTTGTAACGGGTCGAGTCCTATTAGACTGCGCACGCAACTACAACGCGCCCACCGCGCCAAAAAGGCTGGCACAAGATATCAGAGCTGCTGATATCGTTGCGTAGTTGATACATAAGATAGCCACCGCTATCTGTACTGTAGCGGGCTACCTAGCCCGTTACAAACTTAGCTAGTTATAATAGCGTTAGAGAGGAGAGGCTAGCTAAAGGCAGTTAAGCTAGGCAATTGTGGGTGGGTGACGCTGATCGTAGCGATTAACGCAGGATTAAAAAGTAGGTTCAGACATGGCTGGGAATGTGTTTTGCATCAATCTATCGTTAGATGTATGTATGTATGTGTGTGTATAGGCAAATGTAAGACATACGAGGCATTCATCCTGCACGGATGTATAATCGGAGCAGCTCAGGCATAGTAGAAAGTCGTTTTGCACACATGTATAATAGGAAAATAGTCAGATCATGTCCCAAGGCACACTCCAGATGCGCCTTGCATGGATGCATTTGTTTTATCAGTGTTTTCAACGTGCTGACGCAGCGGATTTCACCGTGTATCGACATGTAGTTTCACTCCCCGCCTGGCAGTTGCGCAAAAATCCTCCACCACCACCCTCTCTGCAGCAAAAGAGCGCAAAAATATCTCTAACCACGCGCAAAAATGCAAAAAGATGCTGTGGGCCTGACCGGGATTCGAACCCGGGGCCTGTCACAATCACAGATACACTGTATCCAGGTAAAGAAACCCCTGATGCAGTTGTTAGAAAGCGGGGTTTCGGAGAGGGGTGGTGGCGGGGCAGGCTTACGAAGCGACAATCATACCACTAGACCATCAGGCCGACACGATCCAGAAGTGCTCTGGGATCTTGTTGATGGCAAATTTTTGGATTGGGTGGATTCTGTTGTCGGGTTTTGCTGGAGACGAGCAAGCGAGTGGGTGGAGTAGGGCGTCAGGCACAGTCACAGGTACAGTCATGGGTGGTGGGGCATGGGCGTGTTAGTCAGGGCAGGCGGTGGACGGGCCACTGTACTATTCATGGCGGGCAGCCTCACTTGCTGCTTGCTTGGCTGGGCAGGGCTGGCGAGTGGGAATAGTGGGAATGGGCGAGTGCGGTGTGGTGTGTGTGTGTGTCTGTGGTGGTGCCGAAGTTGGACCACCTGGTTGCGCCATGGCGATGGGTCGATGGCGATGGGTCGATGAATGGCGCACTAGCCACCCAACAGCGTGTTGCGGCATGCGCACATGTGCACGAGGCTATCATGGCTTCGTCACCAGCAGGCGCATACTGTACAGCTACAGGAGGCAGGCGCAGAGGCAGCGCGCAATGGGCCGACCAAGCGCCGACGTTGACAGGGCGGGTAAAAGGGCTGGAGCCATAGGGTGGGCGGGCACTTGACGCCTCATTTGTGCGCCAAAAGAGCCTGGTGGGGTCGTGTGCGCGATGCCGTGTCTGTGCAAGGCCAAGTGGAGAGCCGATCACAGAGGCAGAGGCACCAGCTGCAAGTGCAAGTTGCTGTGCATGGTCGCGGGAAGGAGCCGAGCAGAGCCTGGCCTATGGCGATCCCCCCTGTCTGCTGCGCGGCGTGGGCTACACCGACATTTTGGCGCGCGCGGCATGGACGGCGGCGGCGAGAGCGGCGTCGCAGAAGCTGGCGGCGGCGCGCCAGAAGAGCGCTCCAAACGGTTTCACTGCTGGCGCGCAATGGCGACGTCAAAATGGTTCCCTCGATGGTGCGCTGCGGTTGCGGCCAAAAGTGCGGGGGGCGCGCGACGGGGCTGAGAGTAGTGGGGCGCGCCCATTGGCTCGGGAGCGGCGCTAGGCCAGGTCCGGCTTGGCGCGGGCCCCAAGCTCCCTCCAAGCTCCCCCCAAGCTCCCCCTCGCCGCCTCCTTCGCTGCACTTCACACGCTGCGCGCATCGGAGTCCGCTGCTTGCATCCCCGAACAATCCACTCGCTGCAAAGGCCATGGCGACGGCCATGGCGTGGCCCTGAGTCGTTGTACAGCACACTGACCGCTCTACACCCGTGAAGCCGTCCAGAACAGTCCCCCCGCCAAGCCCCTCTGACACCTGGAGCCTACTGCAACGCTGTGACGCTGACCCGGGTTAAAGGCACAGCTTCCCCTCATCGCCCCGACCGGCTTGCTCAGCTGCTCATCCCTCGTCTCGCAATATATCCTCCTGCCTCGATTGCCTATCCTGATAGCGGCGTTGCTGTATCCGGCATATCCCGACTTGCTGACGTTTGTTATTCCCCGAAGCTTATCTTCCGCACCACCGCCCTCTACATCTTCTCTCTTCTCCCGCTCTCTTCAGCTGCTTTTGCTGCTCTCCATTGTGCCCCAGTCGACATCTCCCTAAACACAACACCACACCCCCTCACATCACCCTGCAATGGCCGCATCAAAACCTAGCATCCGCGCTCTCTGCGCTCTTGCTGCGGGTCCCCGCCTTCTCGGACCCCGACTAACTGTCCGACATTTGTCCATGACTGGCCCGACATCGTCCTCGTCTCTCCTAACCACCGACAAGCCCTACGTGTCAAATCGCCCTCGCGGTCCCATCCGCCTCTCCGGCGAGCACGCCACCCCCGTGGCGGAGCTGGCCGAGACTGGCAATGTCCGCCGTTTCAACACGTCGAGGAGTAGCAAGTTTGTCGGTGACTCGAGCACCCTGGACTTTGCCTACCTCCCCGACTTTGACCCTCACACCCGAAGCGCCCCTCTCGGCATGCGTGTCCCCATCTTGCCGTGGGCTGACGTCCAAGGCCACTCTGACAGCGAGGGTGTGGTACGTACGTCACTAGCCATTTGATCCTTGAAAGCATTGAGCAAGTCGCTGACATCAAGTCCCCATAGGTCCCCATGATGCCAACAATCTACACCGTCTCGGCTGAGGGGTCACATATCCACTCACCCTCGGCCGTGTCAGAGACTATCGACAGCACCCCCTTCACCTATCAGGGCCTTGCCAACAAGCCCACTGCCCCTCGACAGGGGGGCGAGAGCATGGCCCGCCAGATTTGGAATGATTTCATGGAAGATGTCATGGGTCCTAAGCGTGGTTCCAAGCATTAGGCTCTGTACATTGACAAAGGTTCATTCACGGGCAAATTTGCATACGGCTGTCGGATCTGACTGGTCTTGGGGTGGGTTGGAGTGATCACTGCGGGGGCTTACTTGAAGTGGGGGTTTCAAATGGATCTGGCGCGAAGTGCTCGGGCTTATGAGATCACGATTTATCATTTTAATTGCTGTTTTTTTCCACTACTACTGCTAGCGCAAAATGCTACCTTGAGATTGGTCATTCATCATGGCCTTTCTGCTGCACAATCTCATCTCTTTTGCAATCTGCATGATCGGGGGAGTTTTTTTTGTTTGTTTCACTGTCTCATGTTTTGTGTGTGCATGGTGTGCGTCATGGGTTTCCACTGCCTTAATCGTGGGTTTCGAGATCCAAGTCACGTGGGAGGGACACGTGGTAGTCGGGTTCGGGGTCGGGGTCGGGCTTCGGGGTTGGACGAGTCCTCAGTCTTCTTCCTCTTCCTCACTATTCTCGTCCTCGCCACCGTCTTTGCCCTCGATCGTGTCTCTGATATCATCGCCTTCACCCTCAATTTCATCTTCGCTTTCACCATCCTTCAATGATATCTCCCCTGTCCAGACTATCCTCTCTCCATTCATTCTCCTCGTCCTAATGGACAAAGTCGCATTTGAAATCACTTGTGTTACTCTCCTCACAATATCCGCACAAGCCAAAAAAGCCAAATTCTTTCTCGTGGTTGAACTTCATGTGTGTCTTTCTCGTGTTACAAGCCCGTAGGCTCATTTCAGTTGCATGCTCGTAGTAACAGCGGTACTTCATTGCAACTTGTTTCTGTTGCCGATGGTGCTGGCTATGAAGCATATTTCTTACCACACGTGCGAGGAAAGCAGGAGGAAGCTTGTTGATATCATCAGGGCCTTGATGGGCGCATGCCTTCCTTTTCTCGCAAAGCGTGTCTACGAGAAGCTGTAGGATCGGGCTCTCGGTCGGCAGACCGTCATATGCTTCGGTGATGAGAGACAGGTTGTATTCTTCGCAGATAGCGAGACTTTGATCCTGCAATTCCTGGACGAGATTGTTGTGCACGGCTTGCCCGAAGCTGGGAATCTGGAAACGGTCGGCAAAGATGTAGGCCCTCAGTTTGTTCACGGTTACTGCGGAACCACCAAAACCTGACCATTCCTTGTAGTCGCAAGGCTTCGGTAAGCTCTGCGTGTAGAGCCAATGGACAAAGATGTTGACTAATCCAAGTCAGAAATGCCCATAGCAGGATTCCCATGGAACAGAGAACGGGAGAGCAGCATACCGACGGCGGGCTCAATATCGTCGATCTTGACGACTCCCTCTTTTGCCTCTGTCCATGATCCCCTGAGCGCCTTGCGGAAATATTCAGAGTGTTTCAAGAGCAGTGCTTTGTGGACCCTAAATTTCTTGAGCTCTGGCCCAACTTTGAGCGTGACGATGCTGGACCCGGTGGCCTCGCTGTACAAATTAGCATGATTCTCGTACCAATCTTGAGTCTGCTGCTTGTGAGAACTTACCCCAAATTACCCATCTTGAGTGGATGAGTGGATTGTAGAAGCGTCTTGTGTTGTTGTTCTTTGAATGGCCGAGACGCAGGGAGAAAGTAATCCCAAGGGCTCGAGATTGAGGGTGGGGAAAAGATGGTGGTAGGCAGCAGAAGATATATATATTAAGATAGCAAATTCGAGTGAGAGTGATAGACCAGCCAAGGTGAGAATAACTACGGTCCCGAGTACCCTTTGTAAGGACAAATATCTCATAAAAGGTAAAGGGCAAAGGTGAGAATAGGTAATAGAGATTTTGTTAGGATCTAAGATTTAAACTACTATGTTCTTGAAATATATATCCCCATGCCGCAACAAGTTGTATTGCAGTTGAACATTGCCGAGTATAGGTAAGGAAGACTTCAACAAAACCGTGTACACTCATTGTTGGGTTTGCATAAATTCTCACAACCGGTCATGAACTCGATCTGTATTTTGAGAGAAGAAATACAGTCAAGATATTCTTGCGTGAAAACTGCATCGAAACATATGTACCCAGCCAACTATGCTGCCATCAAATGCCTAGCATAAAGAAGACCCCTACTTACAGATAAAAAAGCCTTCGTCTCCCACAAAAACACGAAACCCCAGATACAAAGTACCACCCCACACAAATCCGACCATGCGTAAAAAACCAAGCCCAAACAATCCCAGCATATACAAGTATCACGTTTCCCACCCCGAGGGCTCAAAATAGAGATTCACACCGCTGATCCCGCAGCCGCGTCAGAATAGCCGCCTGCCGTGCGCTAAGGTATGTCAGGTCAAAAAAAAAACGGCGGCAGTCAGGCCAGGCAGGGACCAGATGTTCGGCGACCAAAGCGCACAAAGTGCAAGGTACCCCACAAAACGTCATCAGCAGCCCTGCAGCCTAACGTACACTTGCACTTGGACTTGTGATCCGCAGAACAACCAAAACACCCCGTTTGGTGCCTTGGATGCGTAAAAATTAGCGACATTGCCCACATCCTCTGGGCACGACGTGTTTTCTCTCTACATTCGAGCTTCCAACCCGGGCCCTGCATTCTGGCCTTGCAACCCCTCACACACACACACACACACACACACACACAGCTGTATGCGCGACGAGAAACAAATAGACCATGGACACGCTGCGCCAAGTAGAAAACGTGGCTGCGCACCGGCTCCGCAAGACATTCAAGTATCCGTCTGAATCCGACGACGAGGAAACGGTGGAAGCAGGCATGGACGAACAAGGTAGCCTTCCCCCCCCCCTTCCCTTTCACGCATGACTACACAAGCTAAGTCAAACGCACGCCAATAGATCGCGCAGCCCTCGTCGCAACACTAAGTAAACACGATACTTCGACGACGCATACATACACGCTGTTCCTGCTTGCCCTGCCACTCGTCCCCATCCTGCTGTACATCCCGCGCCTCGTCTCGCTCGCCACAGTGCTGCCCTCGAGCGTCGCAATCGCAAGTCTACTTGCTTCGGCATACACGCTGTATTTTCTGCCGCTGCCGCCCACGGAAATGGCGCTGGTAGATGGCGTCGACGTGACGCCTTTGGTTGTGCGACAGCAGCGGCACAATAACAGCAGTAGCAGCGGTGCAAAGAACAAGGCCAAGGCTCCCGGGACGGGAACCGGATATATGCCTACGCCGAGCTGGGAGAAACCAGCGGAGAAGTCAGTGCGAAGACCTGTGCCCTGGATCTCTGACAAGACGGCTGATGCACTCGCGGATTGGATTGTGCCGCTGAATCGCGCGGCGTGCGGGCTGCTGGCGCTGCATGAGGTGTGGTTGGGGCGCGATTGGACCGAGGGCTTTGTGGTTGGAGGCGGATTCCTGCCTGGTGTGATTTGCCTGGTGATATTGTGGGCGAGGACCGAGCTGCGCATTATCGATATGGATGTGCTGGAGAAGATGAATGCTAGTAGCAGTAGTAGTAGTAGTAGTAGTAGTAGTAGTAGTGTGCAGGACAAGGCAAAGTGAAAAGGAACCGAAAAGAAGAAGAGACTCAAACATATATGTATGTAAATCATGATACCCCTCGTAATACAATTCATTCATGACACTGTTTTTTTTTGAGGAAAAAAAAATTGATATATGTGTACGCTGCAACAACGAACGACCAACTATCCCAAGAGAATATAGGAAGGGGTCTAGGTATCATATGCGAAAAAACGCCCATCATCCAAGGTCAAGTCTAAACATCAGACCATACCAACGCCCTTTCCCCCCAACTCCTACAGACACAAACATGGCACGCTTACTTCTCGTCATTAAAGTATCATGCTCTTTCGTCTGCTGGCCGCCCGCTCAGCCCGGAGTGCGCTCGTTTCTCTCTCTCCACTCCGCGCTTTTGGCTCAGCAGCAGCATCATCATTATCGATGCTGGCGGCGGCGGCAGAAAGCCCAGCCATACCGGTAGACTTCTTCTCCTTGACGCCTGTTGTTCGAGCACTCAACGTACCCCTGGCGACGCCGTTAGTACTAGAACTCCTGGCTAAGCTTGAAGTACTACTACTTTTTACGCCCCCGCTTCCCACGCGCTTGTGGAGCAAAGGTAGCGCCCCTTCTGTCCTCTCTTTCTCAGTCTTTCGCTCATCAAGCCCAGAGGAAGCTCCAGGTGCGGGCATAGCAGAGTGTCGGCGCGCAGTCCGGGCCGCCTTTGCGAGTTCAGTGACACGTGTACGTTGGCTGGTGGTGGCCTCAGCAGGTGGAGAGTCTGTGAAATCGAAAACGGCTAGATTGTCTTTTTCGCGTGATTCTTGCTTTATGGCAATTGTGTCTGCTGGAACAGAAGCGTCCTTGGCCGCAGTAGATTCGGGAGCGGCTCTTGCTGTAGAAGCACCCATCTTCCGTTTAGCGGTGCTTGTTTCGCTGATGAGGGCGGATATCGCTTTCGACGTCGCTGATTGTTCTTCTGGCTCAGCCAGTGCAGTTGATGCTTTAGAATCCTGATCTCTCCTGTCCATTTTTTGTCTCAGCGGACTCCCTGCCTCGGCCTCCTCCTCGGCTGCACCCCCGGGTACAGCAGACACGGGCTTCCAGGCAATGTCGCCGTTAGCCTCGCGCTTGACAATCGTCGAAGGAGCATTGTAGGTTTCAACGCTCGTCCGCCGCTCGACTACGGCATCGACAAGTTTTGCGTCTGGGCGTCGCATCTTCACATTAAGGCTTGGCTCTTTGTAGCTAACTTGGGGGCGCGCTCGTCGCCCAGGTCGCCCAGATTGTCCAGTTTGATCTGCCGAAGAGAGGTCGCCTGGTGGTGGCGTATCCTTGTTTTCGGGTCGTTGGGTCGATGGTTCAGTTGATGGTGGGGAGATGACAGCCTCTGCGGCTGGAGTCTTTGGGGGAAGGGAGTCGAGGACAATCTCGGCAGTAGGCACAGGCTCTGGCATGGGCATAGACGTGAGCTCCGGCGTGGCATTACGGGTGATGTTGAGTCGAGGGCGGCCGCGAACTTTGGAAGTTGACTTCTCTGGCTTCAGTGGCTTTTCTGGTTTTTCTTGGAAGGAGGAGCGTTGTTTCTTTGGCGACACGCAAGGGTCGGTGTTGACGGGTTCTAAGACATTAGCTTTGCTCACCAGAAAGATGTTGGGATACTTACTGGCTGAGAGAACAGGCAACCGCTCCAAAGACGGCTTCGACTCTTCATTCGAAGCCTCGGTTTCTGAGCCGTTGCGACGTGAAAACCTAAAGGCATCACCCTTGGCTTGACTGGCATCTTCATCCTCCTGAACACTAAACTTCCGCTTAGCTCCTGTACGTACAGGCTTCGCGGGCACCTCTTCCGTCTCCTCTGGAGATTCAAATACGGACACGCGACGTATGCTCAGCTTCGGTCCACTTTCGCGACGCTTCTTACGCGTCTCGAGATTGACTGATAGTGGCTGCTCGCTATCCTCAACCATATCCTCCAGTGGCTCTTCGGTGGCGGGACCGGGGTCAAAACCGACGGGATCTTCAGTCTCGAACCGCGATACAGGGGGTGGACCAATATCTGGTGAGTGGCTTTCGGCGTCTTCTGGCACTTGCTGGAGCTCGTCCGCGCTGCAAACGTCAGCATGCTTTGCTTTGCAACGAACTACTACTCAAGCTCATCATCTTTACATACCCCATGGTCCTTCGAGGATAAAATTTGTCCTCTGTGATGGTGGGCAGCATCGCATTCTCCACCTCCTGCAGGCCCAACCCGCTCCTCCACTGTCTTTCTTCTGGACTCCTCCTCTTTGCTAGCAGTTGGCTTTGCCGCCTGCCTGGGTCCTTGTCGCGTCCACCCTTCATTTGCGTTAGACCCGCCACCAGGCCTCCTAGCTCCTGTATCTTAGCTTCGAGCTGCAATTTGACAGCATCAATGTGGTCCAAAGCTGGACGCGATTCGACAGTGTTGTGGAGGCTCAGGACCTGCTCGCGCAGCGCCAGATTCTCAGCAAGGAGTCGCGAGCAGTCATTTTCGAGGCTGCGGATGCGTATGGATTGTGTCGAGTTTGTCTTTGCGAGTTCGCGGTTTTGTCGGAGAAAGCGTCGCTTCACAGCTTCGATTGTTTCCGCCGATGGCTGGTTTGCTATCGGCGGCTCGTTGAGTCGCGCCATTTGCGCAGAATAGGTATGCCGATGTTAATTATACTCTGGCAAGACAATCGCGTTGTCGGCGTGGGCGGGGATAGGTTGCGGCGTGAGTCGTAGCTGCCGGTTCGTCATACTGTTTGTTGACAACTCGAGCGGCGGGCCCACAGCAACAGGGGCTAGGCTAGGACAGGTAAGGCGGTAAGCGCCGTCACATGACTGGAGGGGCAACAGCGCGTCCACAAGGAACACATCAAAGACGATGCGCCATTCCAGAATCAGTATACAAACTACTGTTCAATAGATCCTCGCCATATCCTCGTCGAATACTACAAGCAAAGAAACAGCCGGCTACACTTTACAGCCCCCCCAGTGGAAACTTCTCAACACACGACACTTTTCGCGACAACACCATCAATTAACAAGGCATAATTGGAAGAGGAAAAAAGAAACTGCCGCAATTCCACTGGCAAAATGTCGAATTTCACGCGCCCCCTCCCTACGCACCTTCGCAACCAGTCCCTGGGTGGCCCGCAACAACAATCACCGATCCTGCTCGCGCGCATCGCGGAAAAGAAAGCCGAGCTGGCCAACCTCAAGGACCTGCAAGCACTAAGTGGAGGACTTGCAGACCAAATGCAGCTGCTAGCTGACAAGCTGTCGACATTGTCAGACGGCACAGAGGGTAAGTCAGAGAGGTCTTGCTCGACAACGGGGGTCACCCCCCCCCACATGGGACACGGGGAACACGGGAAAGAAGGGCACTGTGTAAACGTCGGGCTGACACGTGGGTGTAGCGGTTGCAGCCGTGCTATCGAATTGGCATAACGTGTTGAGAGCCATCAACATGGCGTCCGGTAAGTCGTTGCAAAAGTGTCTGTGCTGGGTACTTGTCTGACGCAGGTATATAGCCAAACTGCCTAGGCCCAAGGAGGACGACGAGGACGAAGGAGCAAAGAGGTCGGAAGATGGGCCGCCCCTACCACAGACGCTTGTTCGCATTCCCACGCAGCATGCGCCTACGGTCATGGAACAAGCCAATGCAGCAAATGCCGAAGAGTGAGGCCGCGTACGACATGTAGACGTGTGTGCTGGCACGCAGAGTCTTTGCGCTAATTAAATGATGCGAAGGATGGGGGAGAAGGTGTGATGAGGCATAATTGCACGATTGGCTTCGACCAACGGACTGAGGTGTGATTCGCGGAACACGGCGAATGGGGGGGTGGTCGAGCGAAACTTCAAACCGCGCATATGCAGTCGAGCCCGACGTCCACTCACGTTGCTTTTGCCGTTGCTATGCGGCAAGCGGCCTTGGTCACGAGACCTGACATGTGCAAAAGAGCATGGACATGACGATTGGCATCAACATAGGGAAAAGGAACAAGCAGGGATAATGAAGGAGCAAGCAGAAGAAAAAAAAGACTTCTGTAGACTATGTACGTCGTGGTATAAGCAATTCTACAATGCTTCAATTCACCCAAAGTGCAGGCATGGTGATCTAACGCCGTGATGCATGTACAATCTAGCATCGATATAATGACCAAGTTTTAGCAACCTCGAGAGAGAGAGAGAGTAAAAAAAGAAGAGCTCATGTCCCAATGCTATGCAATAACGCAGTTCCGATCAACGGGTGTCGATCGGACATACCATAACTCCGTGCGGAAGCAAACCCAGAAGAAGCAAAGAGAATCGTGTTCAGTTCGTATCAGGCCAGGCCAGGCCAGGCCAGGCGCAGCCCCGTGAACTCGTCAATCGGCGCGCTGGCACAGACTACTTTTTCTGTTTCGGCATCTTCTCGTAGGCATTGGGGCTGGGCTTCCTCCGCTGTCTCTTGTGCTTCTGTGCGTGGCCCGAGCTCCCACCGCAACCACCATCTCCCGCGCAGTCGTTGCGGTCGTGCTGATGTGGCCGTCGTCCACGCGCGCCACCGGTCCTGCCAGTGGGCCTTGCGGTGCTGTTGTCGGGTTCCGAGTCTGAGCCCGAGTCTGACGATGAGGAATCTGAGGAGTCGTCATCCGAAGACTCGTCGGCGGCGCGGGGCTTGTGGTAGATGCAGCAGACTGTGGCCATGTTAGCATCGCTCGGGGCGCCGTGACATGCGGTGCGGTGCGGTGCGCAGGCGTGCAGTACCTTTGGACGACTTCTTTCCCATGCCTTCGTTGTCCACGACGTCCTCGGCCCACTGGATGTGTCGTCGCTCCGTCGGCTCTGCCCGCAGACGGAGCACACCCGAGGGCGCGGACAGGCGCAGGACGGGCTGCGGGCGCATCTCCATGGTGCGGCTTCCAGAGGTAGGCGTCGCTGTGCGCGGTGACGTAGGGTGGGGTGCGGCCATGGTGTGTTTGGAGTGCGCAATCGAGTGCGGATAAGATGGCAGTTGTAGGGGAGTAGTAGTAGTAGTAGTGGTGGTGGTGGTGGTAGTGGCAGTGAGCGCAGGAGAGGCGGACCCTTGAAGCAACCGGCGTGCGGGGGCGATGGTGCGGGCCTACGCAGGGACCAAAAGGAATCGCGAATTCAAGCGTGAAGGCTCTCTCTCTCTCTCTCTCTCTCTATCTCGCTCGCGCTCTCTGGTCGGCGACGGGGTCCACGGGCGATATTTGAGCGCACGAACGATGCTCCAACCGAGAGCAATAGCGGCGGGAAACGAAGGGTGAGCCGTGGTTTGGTGTGATCGGTACCAGGCAAAGGTTCGTGTCCATGTACGTCTTTGTTGGCTGACGATGATTTGCCTCGTGATGGCACAGGGCTGGCTGGTGCGTCATTGGCGATCGGCGCCTTTTTCGGCCTAACCTTCCTTCTGCCCATCCGGGGATTCTCTCACGATCGCCTGCCTGGCCGGCCATCGCCTTCGCCCCGACTCTACTGCATGCAAGTCACCCGGAGCCCACACTTTGCTGTAGGTCATGCTGCATATTTGCGCCTGCAATACTCTGCCCACCCCGGGCATTGGGTGCACCCGCGTTGCATCCAGCAGCCCGCGCTGCGAGAACAGCCTGCGCCAGCGCTGTCTAGGCTGCAATAACGTGGTTGGTATTACCTTGCAAAAATAAAAACCTGGCCAATGCCGCCCACGCCGATGACACCGGCGTGCTTAGCTGCGCGCGTAGTCACCACGCAGCCCGTCACATGAGCGTCGTGGTAGTATGCGAAATGTGGAGACGACATACCGCGCCGGAATTCGCCTTGGGCACACTACAAGTAACGACCAACACCAGACACTCGGCTGCGTCTGCTCTCTCAATGCGGCACATGGAAATGCACAAGGCGGGGGCTCATGTCCGCGACTCTGTCAACCCCACTCGCAAGCAGAGGGTGACCTGATAATGCCCACTGTAATATGCTCCATCTTCACCGCCATACATTGGCCACTGCCACGACTGCGCACCGGAACTTCATCCTACGCTCACAAACACTCAGCACACCATGGCATTAGTGTTTAACTTTATCAGCAGGCCGTACTGACGGATTGGGCCCAAAATATCTCTACACAAGAGACAGTTTCATAACCCGACCACATGCACACATGGAATACATACATACAACACAACACAGTACCCACAACAAGGTCTGGAGCCTCCCTTCCGCATCGCATACATCGTATAGGCTGTTATCAAGACACAGTGCTTGCCAAGTGCGCTCGCACAGTGCGCCTGGTGGGCGTCTCCACCCATGACGACTATGGGGATGTCATGACCCCAAAGGTTCCCGACATTCAGGAGGTGGCTTTGCTTCATCTAGTCGCGCTCCAAGGCCTGGATCCATTGCCGGTACACCAACGACTCATAGCAACAGACAGTACACGTCCTCGTAGGCTATGCAAACATTGAACGTTTGATATGCAGACGAGGCAGATGTTCAGCAGACAGCATTACGGAGCGATTGTTGATGTGCTGTTCAGGGGAAAGGAGGCCACTAGGTGAAGCATCAATACATGCTAGAGACATGGTAGAGGGAAGAGGAGCCTCCTGGGGGGGTATCCATATGGTTCATACAGCCGTGTCTCTGACAAGTCGGGCGTGCCATCCACGAGGAAAGCTGCACTAAGCAACGTCGGTGCTCGTTGTTGTAGCAGGTAGAGGGACTCGCCCCATGGCGACAGAGACATCCGACTGTGACGAGGGAATGCAATTTATGCCAGCAGCCACGCAGCGGAGCCAAGACAAGGTACCGATGCCCACTGGCGAGGAACAAGTAATTTTACAGATGATGAAGGGATTCTGCAGGGCGATCACGGGTGGCGGTGAGGGAGATGAGCGGCTCCATCCTTCTTCACGCAGCGCAACAGTCGTCTCATGCAGGCGAGCAACACAAAAGAGGCCATGAATCGTCGCCGCCACCGGGAAGCTTGTCGACGTTGGGGCAGAGACGGGACAGTGGGAACGATGCGAGAGTTGCCTGTGAACAAGGGGGGAAATGACAGCATATGCAGACGAGGCGCGCGTGGACAAGCTCGGTGGCTGACAGCTGATAAGCGGATTCGGGGACCGCCCGCATGCAGACGACTCCTCCACTAGTCGTAGAAATCTGCGCGCCCGGCCGCTTTCTGCGCGGAAATGAGAAGCGTGTGGAGCGGTGGTAGGCTGGGCCGACGAGGCTCCACCGGGCCGCGAAAAGGAGTCGAATGGGCGTGGGACGGGGCTGTGTGGACGGGCGGGCGGGACAGACAACCCAGGGAGGGCGGCGCGGTTTAGTAGCAGCGGCGAGCACCAGCGGCGAGCAGGCGAGGGCGAGCGGAGGATGGGCGTGGGACAATGGAGCGTGGACTGGCAGCGCCGGAGCGCCGGGGACGGATGGCAGTTCAGGGGGTGTTGGGCGCGTCGCCATGTTGTTGGCTGTGTGTGTGTGTGTGTGTGTGTGTGTGTGGTGCTGGGGGCGAGCCAGCAGCGGTCCTAGTCGCCAATCTGCCATACAGAAGGCCTGGCGAATGAGGGGACGGGGCTGCAAAGGGTTCCTGCATTAGCTTAGCCGCATGCGGCCTGGCGCCTCCGCATGGGGCGCGCGCGATCGGCGCGTCCAGAGCAAACGGCGCGGCCTTTTTCTCCTGCGCGCCTGGCGAGGGGCGTCGACTTGCGCTGCACGCTGCACGGCGGCGGCGGCAGCGGAGATGTGCAGCTGGGTGCCGAACCACCACGGCGCTCTATCGATTGCGTCGTGAGGGCCATGGGCGGGCGACGGCGACGGCGAGGGTGCGGCGGCGCTGCTCGAGCGGGCGCGCGAGGCTGGACCGCACGTCAACAGCGAGGGCGCGGCCGACGGTGACAGGCTGGCAGCTGGTAATTGCTAGCAACAGCGCGCAAACAAGATCAAACACCTTGGCTGCGCTAAAACGGGCGACCTGGGACACCCTTCCCTCTGCTCGGCATAACACGTCTTGTCCCGTGCAAGGCTCGAGCCATGGGCCAATCAGCGACCCTGCAGGCCCCAAGCGGACGTCGGGCTGCCTGTGCGGCGCCTCATCTACCCTTCGTGCCCATCCGCCCTCGTTCCTTAAACTCACCTCCTCGTGGGCCTGTCACTCTTTTAGCAATCTTTGCGTTCTCCGTCACCAACCGCCTCCCACTGCTCGATTCCATCTTACCCCAGTCATTCTTTTTTTGGGCCAGAGGTTGTTTGTTCGCGTTGCGCTCCCGCCAAAGCAGCCCGTCACTGTCCTTCACTCCTTACCCTGCCATATAGCCATCCCTACACGAGAGCATTATTGTATACATTTTGCGCCTTATTACTACTACTGACGACCGACTTACGGCCCTTACGTTGCTAATACACACTCGCTGCTTCCTCGACACCGCCACGCCTGCGCACCGTAACGCACCCGCATCCGCCAGAGCACACCGCCATTGCTGGTTACGACGTTGTATGAGACAAGGGCTTCGCGAACCACCATGTCGCATTCTCACCATCACCACCACCACATGCACCATGAACATGCCCGCGGCGACACGCTCCACCTGGGCTCACCCGCCAGTGGCGCAAGCCGGACAGTCCGCCTTGTCGAAAGAGCAAGCAGAGTCCTGCTTGCCCGCGACACTTCCACATGTACCAGCAGCAGTGAGCCCGGTTGTGTGAAGCCGACCCAAGTGCCCATGATTGCCATCGCACTGGCCATAGTGTATGATGTCTACCGCTGCCTGCCCTGCCTGTGCTAACCCAGCCTAGTGTGCCCGTTGTTGGTATCTCTGTCGTGCTCATATTCTTACACCGTCGGAATAAGCGGAAGCTCCGGGAGGAGGATCAGAGGGACAAATACAAGTCTAATGATTGGGGCATGGAGGGTGTCGTGCCCAAGGCCGGCAAGAGCGGAGGCAAGAGTGGAGGTCCCGAGATGTCAGTCTCGGAAAAGGAAATCGCTGGAGGCCATGACCGTGGACTGTCGATTGAGACTGGAAGCCCGTACATCCTGCCCGTCGGCCTGCATGGCTCTCGCGATTCGCTGCACTCCCTTTCCCGCTCGCAACATGACCCCCACGACCCCTATGGACCCGTCGCCTTCTTGAGGGATGATCAGAGCCTTCGCAGCCCAAGCCTCGCCGGATACAAGGACAATGGCTCCATGTACACGACTTCGAGCGTAGGCACGAAGAAAGAAGGCCTCCAGGCCGGCCTCCTCCAAAACGCGCAAAGAATGTCCACGTCGAACCCCGTCCGCGGCGACTCCATGTCCCCTGATGAGTCCAAGTCGGACTCCAAGTTTCTCGAAGCGGGAATCCCTCTGAGCCCATTGAACCCACGATACGATTCAGAGCCCCCTGCCGCCCCCGCCCCTGCCGCCTCGCCTTCCGGACCTACCACCCAGTACGCCACGTACAAGCCAACCACTGTCCCGACCATCTCTATCCCTGATGTGACCGTGACGGAGAAGCAGGTCAACAAGTCACCGGCCCAGACGACCAACGAAGTCCCCTCGCTGCCTCGCATCCAGTCTCAAGCGGTTGTGCTGGAGAATGCCAACAACACTCACAGCATCATCAGCACGTCGAGCTACGGTGACGCGTTTGAGGTTACTCCGCCTTCGCCGCCGCGCAATACCGAGCAGCCAGCCATTGTCGCCCCCAAGCCCCGTTACTCGACCGGCCCTCAGAATCTCGGCCTCGGAGTAGATGACCTTGGCCGCAACACCAACCGTCTGTCGATGAGCCTGCGTCCCATGCCTTCTGAGGACCCCCTTGAGAACCCTGAAGAGCGCGCCAACCGTATTCGATCTTTCTACAAGGAATACTTTGATGACTCCAAGCCCGAGCCTGTTGGCGGACACCAGTACACTGACTACGTCGAGGACTATGGCTCCGAGTACCAAGACGGCGCTGTGTTCGACCCACGCACCGGTGCCTTTGTTGTCGCGCAGCCCAACGCGCCATTTGCCGAGCCCATTACTCGCCGTGCCATGACTCCTCCCCCTCGTGCGCCTCCTCGATTCCGTAGCAACACGGGTACGGGACCCCGTGGCCCGCACATGTCCAACGGATCCGTCGTCTCGTCACAATACCAGCCGCCTCGTGGCATGTCGTCGATGAGCGGACGTCTACCGCCGCCGATGAAGAAGCCTCTTCCGCCGCCTGCCGCTCTGGCGTCGCTGCCGACGCCCGCCAAGCTCAACGAGAACTCAATGGTGTTTGACGCTGCGGATTTCGCGCCACCGGTTTCGTTCCGTGAAAGGCAAAATGGCATGCGACCGGACAGCCCGCTTGGTGGCGCTAGGCCGTACAGCCCATCGGTGCGCCCTCACACACCACTGGTGGGTTCGTACGACGAGCTTCCGGTGCTGCCCAGCCCCCACCTGATGCGCAAGTCTGGCACGTTTACGGCACTTGACTTTGCGCCGCCTGGACGCATCCGCGATCCCGCAGGCTCAGGCATGTCGGATGCCGGGTCGATCCACTCGAACCGGTCTGGCATCTCTGCGGCTGGCAGATTTGCGGTTCGCAGCGGAGCCAACCGTGTCAGCAGGATACCTCGAGAAATCATGGGTACCAAGGATGACCTTGCCGTGACATTAAGACCTAGGATGAACATGGTGTCGGGCGCCTAGACGGGTCGCGGCTTCACCAGCACCTATGGTTGATGACGAAGACTGGCGGGCTTGCTGGCGGAGCAGTGTGCTTTCGTGGTTGCAGGCGCGGTACAAAAGCTTTCCCATGTCAGATTTCTTTTTTCCTTGGGTACAATACCATTTGTGGTGGACATGACAAGTATTTCTTCATGGCATTGTGTCATCAGCGTAGTGGGCGGGTTGGGTCCAGACTCTTGCAGCCGAAGAGGTGCAAGCCGCCATTTCCTTGGTATTCTCCATCGCGGTCTTGGGTGGACCGGCAGATTTTACTCATTCTTAGGGCAATTCAGCGAGGGACCGGCGTTACCAATGTCTAATTTCTATTCTTGTATGCAGAGAGAGGGGGGGGGCTTGAGGCAATGGTGGTTTGGTGCTTGATGGGAGGATGGAGGAGTAGGAAGTTGTTGATGTGTGACATCGTATTCAAGCGCAGCATATAGAGGAATAGGAAGAAAGAGGCATTTCAAATGGCGGTGCAAGCAGCAACCCTGTGATAATGTGCAGACTATGACTATGGCGCCGGCAGAGGCTGGGTTGAGCGACGATATAGGGCGGGCCCATGTTGCATGCCTGACACAGGGCGAGCCACGTAGCGCCGTTTCTGCGTGTGCATACGCCACAGGCCGTGCAGATCCGACGGCGCTAGGCCACGCCAGGTGCTGTCCGCCTCGTCACCCATCCCCCCATCCCCCCATCCCCCCATCTCCACCAGCACCACCAGCACCAGCACCAGCACCAGCACCAAGCACCGGCACCGGCACCGGCGTACACATACACACACGATCAACTCGGCCCCCCTTTTCTACCCGCGGGGAATGCTGCACTGCCCGCCGCCCCAGGACACAGCCCCCCCACCAGTCGCTATATGCAGCACTCAGTAAATATATGTACTCGGGGCCGTCTCCCAGGCGACGTCATGTCCATGGATACGCATACGCGTCCAGCAACACGAGGCAGGCGCCAGACGAGCACCGACGCCGATGCTCCAGCCACCCCTTGGCAAGGCAAATGATGGGTTGCTATTTGATTTGGCTGGCGGGGCGGTGGCTTGGACGGCTAGTGCTGGTGGTGCAACTTGGTCGCGAGCAAGGCCCAATGCCATTTCGCCCAGCCGCCCTTTCTCTAGTGCTCGCACTCACACTCATTTAGGGGTCTTGTACGTCATAGCTCGACATCTTCGCAGCGGGATCCATTAAAACTGGCGAGGGCTTCCTGCAGCACGCGCGTATGAGGTTGGGTGTTCGACCTCTTGAAATCCTCGTTTCAGAATTTCTGTCTTCGCCCGCCTGCGTTTCGACGGCCCTCGTTACTCTCCTTCGCTCGCTTTAATCCCGCCACGCCCTTGAACGCTGCTCCCGCTCCCTCGCCATACCCCCTAGTTCACTTCACCCGCCACACCCGTCTGTATTATGCGTCGCCTCTTTTCTCGTCACCGTCGCGCCGACGACTCGGCCATATCCCGAAATACGTCCCCCACCGCAGTCCCCGAACTCACCAAAGAACAAGTCAAGCGCGCAACCCGCAAGCGCAAATCATGGGCCCTCGCAACCTCCTTTTTCCTCTTCGTCACCTTCATCTTCCTCATTCTCGTCAACATTGCCGGCGTGCGCAACAAGCCCGTCATCAGGAACTGGTACTTTCTGCGCCTCGACCTCAGCAACATTGTGCCCGCCACCGTCCCCAACTTTGCCCTCATCAACACCATTGCCCAGACGCTGGGTCTCCATGATTTCTACCAGGTTGGACTATGGGGCTTCTGCGAAGGCTACAAGGGCCAGGGTGTCACCTTTTGCAGCAAGCCCACCAACCTGTACTGGTTCAATCCCGTTGCGATTTTGCGAAATGAGCTTCTCGCGGGCGCTTCGAGTATGTTGTGCAGCGCTTCCAAGATCCAGGCCAAAACTAACAACACGTCTTAGTTAATCTCCCTGCAAACATCAACGACATTCTAGACCTGATCCACCTCGTTTCCAACTGGATGTTTGGACTCTTCATTACCGGAACCGTCCTCTCTTTCGTCCTCATCTTCGTCATGCCTATTTCCGTCTACACACGCTGGCTCGCCCTGCCTGTGGCCATTCTCGCCTTCCTCAACGCCCTCTTCGTCACCGTCGCCTCCATCATTGCCACCGTCATGTTTGTCATCTTTCGCAACACTATCAGTGGCGTCGCAGAGCTCAACATTGGAGCTGAGATTGGAACAACGCTGTTTGCCTTTATGTGGGTAGCCAGCGCCTTTGCCATTTTCGCGTGGCTCGTACAGATGGGACTCTGCTGCTGCTGCGCATCCAGGAGAGACGTCAGGAAAGGCAAGAAGAGAGGCAGTGAAAAAGCATACCAACCGGATGTGTCTGGCGCCGAGAATGGAGGCGTCAGAGACGACAACCCCGTCGTCAGCGGCGCAAGCGAAAACGAAAAAGCAGAAAAGAAGAAATACGCGTTCTGGAAGCGTGGGTAGGACCCTGTTGTTCCCTGCATGACGGCTCAAGACGGTTTCCCTCGTGGTACTACCACTACCACTATTACACACATAGACATCATCGACCTAGATCCCTGTTACGAAAAAAAAAGCGTGGCTCGAAATGTTTCTCCGAGAGAGCTACTAGCTATGAATAGCAAAAAGTAACAAACGATTTTGCTTCTTGGTCACTTTGTCACAACAAGCGCGGCGTTGGTTGGGTGGTTGTTTTTTATTTTTTTTTCATGGCATAGCGCCGCGTAGACATAGTGCGACATGCCAAGTTTGCGGTTTGTGTGCATGTCCTCCTCGATTGTAAGCTTGCCTTGCAATCATGTACGTATGTATGTAGCATAATGATACTGTTACTGGATGTTTTTTAACTTGACTTGACTTGGGCTGACCGACTTGGGCTGACTTGACTTGGGCTGACCGACTTGGGCTGACTTGACTTGGGCTGACTTGACTTGGACTGACTTGACCTAGACTTGGCTTTAGGTTTAACTCTAACACTGACATGGACGTTTAGCCAAATGGCGCCGTGCCAAGTCTGCATGCTGATGCCTAAATACCATGCTATAGCAGCATAGTGTGACATGACAAGTCAAGTCAAGCCATGGCTGTGTATACACGTGTTAAGACGAAGACAACTTTTCTCTCTTTCAAATCACATGACATGATATCACACACACAAAGAGCACACAAGACACAATTCACATGGGAAATCCGACAGTAGCATTGACGCTTCCAACTAGATACACAAACGCGCCAACACTCACCTCTCCCGATCCTCATACCAATCCCTCGTCCTACCCGCGTCCTCGCCCTCTCCTCCTCCTCCCCTGCCACTACTAAACACGCGTCTGAAGCCCCTGGCCACCGCATCCGTGACGCTGAAATCATTGAAAAGCCACTGATTCCCATGGCGTCCGTAATACTTGAATTCCTGCTGTGGCGCCGTCTCCGCACTGCGGCTCCGCGAACCGGCATACTGGCCGTCGCGCTGGTGGCTCCGGCTGCGGCTGTGCACGCGCGGCTTGCTGAAGGAACCCGGGGCCACGCCCACGGTTTCAGCATGTGAGTGGCTGCTTGGGTGCGCGCGCAGGCCGTATCCGTATCCGTATGCAGCTGCGGACGACGAAGACGTCGAGCATGTACCGGCTGTGTCTGTGGTGGACACGGTGGCTGATTTTGTAAACGGCGGCATGAGTGCGCTGTCGATGGAGGGTCGGGCACGTCGCTGGGCGTGAATTGCATGGGCGGCGGGATTTCCTCCATGTTTGTCTCCGTTGGTGTTGGCGTTGGCGTTGCTGTCGGGGGTCGACCTCTCAAAAGTGACCAGTCTTGCGTGCAGGTCTTGGACGTCGGGGGCTCCGTGGTTGTAGTCAGGCATGGGCAGGATGGTGGGAGACTGTGTTGAAAAAGTGATTGGGTACGGGTTCTGGCTTATGAGCGAGTGGGGTTGTTGGTTCTGCTTCTTGTAGTCCTGGTGGTGGTGGTGGTGGTGGTGAAGTCGTCGTCGTTGTTGGTGTTGATACTCGTACTGCCACTCGTCTGGAACACAACTAGTACTAGATGCTGATGACGCTCTTGTTCTGGAATGGATGCTCCCGATACTAGATGAATATGGCATCAAGTGTGGCAGTGCCAACTGGGGGGTTTTTACAAAGAGGGGGGGGGGGAATCGACTATCTATATATGTTGCAACATGGCTATATATGCCAAGGCACAGAGCTTAAGCATGACCACCCCCCAGCCGTTGGGCAAACCATCCAGGAACCTTTTGGCACTTTTCCGCCCCAAGCTTCTTGGGAGCGGTGGAGTCAGCCGGTTCCCCCCCCCCCCTGCCCCCGTTGCGTTGCGGCGGCGGTGATGGTGGTTGTCTGGCCCAAAACGGGTATGAGACTCTCTGATTCGCGGTGCGGGCTACTAATCCCACTTTTACTTCCCACTTGGTGCAGGCTGCCAACCCTCTTGTTGCAGTGACGTGCGGATACATGGCTGTGTTTGGGGGGGGGGGGGCTGAAAGGGTCATGTGGTGCACATTCTCCCCATGACAATGGGCAGCCTTACCGTCGGCCGGCAAACCGGCAGCGCCACCATGCAGCGCAGCGAAGCCGTGCACTAGCCACAGCGCGCCACATCCAATCTGCGTGCCCGCCGCCCTGCACCGCACTGCAAGGCCGCGAGTCGTTGGCTGCAACCATGACATACACCAAGACTTTTGTCGTCGGCTACACGGATAATTCCTCTCCTTGCCTATCGCCATCTTCGGCCTGTGTGGGCCTTTTTATGGACCCCCAGAAAGACTCCCCCCCATCTGCTGACCGCTGACTTACGTGGCTTGATCGCTTGTCATTGTGTCGTTGAGCAATAGGTGTAGATACGCGCAAGCCACATATCGCATCCGCCACATGGGAGTGGGGGATGTGGGTGAGTGGCCACTTTGGGAGCAAGGATTTAAACATGGAAAACATGAACGATGATGATAACCTTTTTTTCACCCTTCTTCTCTGTCTTCTCTTCTCTTCACCTCACCCCTGCCCCTTGCTGATTTTGCCCTTTTTTTGGTCTCTTCTACATGGACGTTGGAAAAAAGAAGAACAAGAACAAGAAGGAGAAGGAGAAGAAGAAAAAAAAATGTCATATTTCGGAAGTAGCCGGGTTCTTTACATATCCAAACGCAAAAAGTTCTTTTTTTTTTCTTTTCTTCAACTTCCATTTCTAGACTTCACATTGCAGTTCGTGGACTAACATGTACACACATGCATGTCTGACGTAAAGCCAGTCAGCCCTACTACGGCTTCTCTTTCTCTCTCTGTTAGGTGTAGGCAGTGCGGTCACCCTTGAACACGAGCTGCGTCTTTTTTTCTTCTTCTTCTTCTTCAGTCTATCCACTCACCATGCACGTGTACCCACAAGGGCTAAGAACTCAGCTTGCTATACTACAAAAAGTGCGCCCTTTTTTTCTCTTGCTAATCTTCGGTCCTTCGTTTGGTTTTATTCCATCTCGCCATGATGATGAGTACTTCTTGGTATGTACGAGAGAGACGCGCGTTCAATAACGCGTGCCCTACGGTTTTACCCCCCGAAGAAGAAAGGCCTATTGGTATATTTGGAAGAAAAAAAAGACTCACAGAACCTAATTGATGACATGTGCTAGAGGTATGGGTAGAGAGGAAATTAGGGTTAGACCTGCGCTGTAAAAAGAAGCCACTAGTTCTGTAGTCAGGGCACATGCTATCCAATTATCCAGGCTGTAGCCAGAGCACACGCTATGCAGCTGTAGTTATGGCCCACGCTATCCACGTGAGGGAGACATCGTGAACACTGTGACTCCTCTTCACATGCCTGGATTGCAGTGGGCTAAGAAACCGTCATCTCTACTACCCAAGAGAAAGAAAGCCATACGCCGCAAACATGATGGGTATACCAAGTAGCAAAACACCTGCAGCGCCGCGCATTCAAAGTTTGAAAAAGAGCCCGTCACACACCCGGCACTCCATCCTTGCTTCGTATCCGTCCATCTTTAACCGAGCCTATCGTCACACCCGCCTCGCCAGTCATCCAGCCCGGCATCTTCTCGCCATCGACAATGCCCTCTTCAACTAGCTGCCGCATTCCCGCAAAGACATGAGTACCCTGGAACGTAATGCGCACGTTTGGTACCCAGCCTTGTTCGTTCTCAATCTCCTCGAGGTCTTGGTCGGTCCTGTCAAGCAGCGAAGGGCGACCACGACGCGAACGAATTGTTGTTTGCGCCTCGACACGTGATGTCTCGCCGTCAGTTTGTATGCTGTCGCTGCCGTTTGAAGTAGTTGGGAATGGATCGTCAATGCGGACCTCGACTCGTTCGAGCCCCTGACCATCATCTGGCTGGGCTGAAGTGCCGAAGCGACCAGCAGCCACCTCTTTCCGACGCTTGGACTCTGGTGACTCCTTATTATCCAAGGGTCGTTTGGGCCTGCCCGGGCCAGCTTTGGTCCCGCCATTTGTGCTGCTTTTGTCGTTTGAAGGCTTCTCTTGCCGATCGCCTTTCTGTGTAGTAATGAAATCCAGCGCGTTCTGACTAAAACTGTGATCTTGAAAGATGCTCCAACCACCTGCTGCCGCATTGCTCTTGCCAGGGCCGCGATATGTCAAAAGCGCTTCAAGCGACTTGGTCGTGAAGTTGGTGCCGGTCAGCTGGTAGCGTGCAGAAGGCTTCGAGAATGCCTTGGGTATTGCTTGCTGCACAATTTCCCTCAGATGCCGCCCTTCATCCCCCACGACTTGACCGGTCAGTGTTGCCAAAGACGAATAGACAAAAGGCGAGCCGTTGGGCCATATGAAGAAGACGGCCTTTGCGTGGCCCGTGTTGCTGGAATCAACCGCCAGCGATGCCTCATTGCTGTACGGTGAATCGTGTATGTAGACGCGAAGTATTGTCATTGGCGAAGTCTTTATTCGTGTGATGAGGTAGTGGGCTTTCATCAGCGGCGTCAATTCCCTTGCAAGATTCGACATGAAGGTTTGTGCTTGGAAGCGAGGGAGGTGGTCAGAGTCGTTTGTGACTTCCATGTCGGTTACCGGTGATCGCGCATTCGGTATCTTTGTAAGGCGCTTCGCTGTCCAGCGCAGGGCATTGGGGTGGTCGAGGAGGTACTGTATCTCTGCTGTTGCCAGTTGGTACATGGATATGCCGTGTCTCCAGTCTCCTTCGAGTATGCGATCGAGGACCTCTCTCCTGCCGCCCTTGCGCGCCGCCAGCTGCTTGTACATGTCCTGAAGCACCTCATAACTTTGCGCCGGCTCGTATATCTCGTCGTTGTCCTCGTCGGTGCGGTCTTCCAGGAGGAAGGGCTTGCAGAAGTCGCGGTTCTTTTTGCTGAGCCATTGCAGGGCGAGGGAGACGAGGGATTGCCGGGAGAGCTTGGTGAAGGTGCGCTGGACTTCGCGGTGGCTTACGGGCAGGCGGTGCGAGTGGGGGATATTCTTGTAGTCTGGGGCGGTAGCCATTGCATTTGTGCTTTTCGCGTCTGCATGGGAGGGGTTGAGACGTTTGTTGGTGTGGCAGAAGCGTTTATCGATAGTATCCAGGTAGAGTCGCGCTCAGGCGGTCAGACGCGTTTGCCCTGCTGCCACGTGACGCGATCCATGCCGTCGACTCTGCCTCATCGGCACGAGCACAACCACAGGGCGGCTTGTCGAGAGCAAAAGTGGCTTTTGCAAGTGGCGCATATCTTGAGGTGTCAAGGTGCATTTGCTGTGCGGCTACGCACGTGAGCTGCAAGCCATCATGGCGGAGGGCATAAGCGGGCTTGAAGTGAATGCTATCGACGAAAAGGGCAAGTCTTGCTCAAGTTGCTTAGATAGGCCGTGTTAGATAATCTGGGCACGTAACCGTCACCAGGCGAGCGCCACACTTATCCTGCACACTGCAAAGATGACCAATCTTTTTACCTACTGCAGGTTGTAATCAATAGCAGTGGGCCAGGCGCATTGTTGAGCCGTCATGATGATCCGTATAACACCACGGACGAGTCCCGCACCTTGAGCTGAGAAACCAACCTTTTCTTCAACCTCTATTGAGCATACACCTACATAGTAGAGCAATACAGCCACGCAAGGCCAGGTGTATGATTGTTGCTATCTGCACGGTGATTCCTCGGCGGCGCTATCCAACAGCCTCTTAAAATTCCCTTGTTTGTATACAATACAGGGCTTCACCATGCCGCTACAGCATGTGAGCATGCCGGTAGATGGATCGGTGGCCGAGGAATGGCGGTCCGGGTGATGCGTGATTCGCCAGGTCGTACCGTGTGCCTCTATGATTATAAATTGCCGGCCTTTACTCAGCTAGGACGACATGAAAGGGCGGCGGCTGAGCGAGCAACGTCTGGCCTCGCATATGAGACGATGCTGCCCTTGTATACACGGCGAGCAACAGAGCAAGAGAGGGAGTTGTATCGTAGTAGACACGGGTCCCAGTGTACGAATATAGCGAGTCGTCCCGAGGTGTGTGCCGCCCCCGGAAGCACGTGGGTCAGTCTCTCGGCGATAACGCGGCTCCGCCAGTCCTGAGGCCGCTAACAGCCACTAGATTTTCTCCCGCGGGGGATCTCGACTGCTCTACGCACCTTTGACCACCGTTCAACGTCACCACTCCCGCACACACTGTCCTCTTTTCTTTTTACACGGCTTCACGGGCTCTGTGCGAAAGAAGCTCGACACCGGACCAGCGCGCCATTGCACAACACCAGCGAAATTCTTGACCCCGCCAGAAACCACGCCACCGTAATCGGACCTGCTTGTTGATCCAAGGCGGGACTCGCCGGCGTGAAGTGTCTGGGTGGAAAGCCCCTCCGAAGACGACCCCAGTTGCCCCAGCTATATACTCGAGCAGCTTCACCCACATCCCCATTATCCACTGGAGCACGGCAAACTGCCCATGTCGTCCTACAAGGGCCAGCGAGGACCCAACGTGTCCCTGTACATCGCCACACTCAACCAGCCGTCACCACAGCAGGACCTGCTCGTCGACCCAGCGCCTGGAGACGACTTCTCGGACTTTCTCAACGCCGAATTCTTCGACGTTAGCAACAGCCACACCGCGGGCGTCGACTTCAGCTCGCCCGGCGAATTCAACATCGACTTCGACAGCAATCCGTCACCGCCGCTCAAGACGGGCGAGGGATTTCAAACGAGCCCGACTAGCGCTGGCGCAACCATGGATTTCAACTTGAATGGTAAGCGCTCTGTTATTCTTCCCACCGTTATTTCTCTGGCAATGGACTGTTATTGTCGAGTATTACCCGGTGCAACCGCCGTGTAGTCTCTACAGGACGCTGTCCAATGATGGTTGGCGGACGACATGCAAACCCCGCCCACGTTGTGTTGCCTGCATCGTCACCCCACACTAGGCAGATTAGTCACTCACAAGACCCTTTTGCATATGCAGCCCTGTTGCTTTGCATGGGTGCAAGCACGCAACACCCTGTGCTACACGGAAACAGGTCATCTAGCCCGCTGCTCCAGCGCGCTATCTGATTGTCGCTCTCACGAACCATGACTGACCCTTTTATGTTTGCAGGCGACTTTCCCTTCACCGACTTCAACAACTTCCCTGGCAATGCTGCCTTTGACCCGTCGGTGCCGCTGGCAGCCAGCCAGCCTAACCACTACCCACTCGGCCCCAACTTTGCCTCGCCTGGATCTTCAATATCACCAGTCGCGCAAGGCTACGAGCAAGCCTCCAAGAAGCGCAAGATGGACAGCGCCGCCCCCATGATGCAGCAGTCACTCGACGAAAGCGCTCGTATTGCAGCAGAAGAGGACAAGCGCCGCCGCAACACGGCTGCAAGCGCCCGCTTCCGCATCAAGAAGAAGCAGCGCGAGCAGGCTCTGGAGCAATCGCAAAAGGAAGCGCAGGAGAAGGTGGCCAAGCTCGAGGCCACGATCGAGCAACTACAGACGGAGAACGCATGGCTCAAGAGTCTGATCACAGAAAAGAGCGGCGGCAAGAGGACCACCGACGAGCTCGCGGCGCTCATGAGCAAGAGGGAGCAGGCAGCAAGTGGACGGAGTAGCTCGGCGCACACGGACGGCGTAGGAACACAGTCTGAGAGTCCCAAGGCGGATGCCTAAAGTCTTTGTTTCTTGCTTGCTGGCTTGCTTTCCTTCTCTCTCTGTGTGCATCTTGTTTTGCTGTATTTGTTTTTGTGAGCACCTAGGTGCTTCTTGATACATGTCTCTCTGCCATTGCGCCTGCAGCACTGATATTCTTTGTATTGTACTGCACTTCCAAGGGCTGGCTGGGGTGGGGTTGCGGAATGCATGACATGGAAAAGCGAATGGAGGTGAGGGCTCATGTCAATGACGGGACGACGAGACGGATTCCATAGAGGATGACATACATACATAGATATATGTACCATGACATACACGTCATCGTCCAGTTGTACATGACCACATGGTTGGCACACGACATGATTGGCAATGGACACGAGACTCGGGTGTTGGCATGCACACGTTGGACATGGCACATTTGAAAAGTAGTTGAAAAGTAAGAGGTATCAATTCTGCAGTCTTTGTCCTGTGAGGCGCAAGACCATGTATCCTGGGATTTTCAACGCCGATGGCCGTGGGGAAATAGAAGACGCACAAGGAAACAGCACTTGGACAGTGTATCCAAGCCAAACAGGCACACGATGATTTCACCAACCACCTCTCAACACGTCATTCGCATTGCTTTCGCTCGCTCCTTCCTGGCCAGTGCCCTCTTCTGCTCAAACGACGCTCGCCTCGCGCTGGGGAGCTGTCGTCTCTTGCACAACTCCCATTTGGGATGCGTTTCGCTATTTGGTCTTTCTAGATGGCAATCCAGGTAATGGTGATGACAATGTCCATGCCCTTGCTGTCGGCAGCCTCCCACTTGTACGTGTAGGTTCCGTCTTTCTCGTTATTCCAGAATGCGCCGACAGCGCTGTGCATGCCGCGGCGGCCCTGCTTCTCGATGTCTGCGGGCGTGGAGCCGTGGTGTTGGATGACGGTGCTGTTGGCAATGTATTTGTAGGCGGGTTGCGAGGGCGCGTCTGGGCTGGATGAGTCGCTGGGTGTGGTTTTGCTGATGAGCGTCTTGAGGATGTATTGCTGCGGGTCGAGAGTCAGTCTGTATGCCGAGAGACGGGATTGGCTTGGGCCGGGGCAAAAGAGCTTACAATGATCTCGCTGTTCCACTCTCCGACTTTGCTGTGGTCGTATGACGCTGCGGACCCAATCGCTTGTTCGCAGGCCTAGTCCCCGTCGTTAGTCCCATGGTGCTCTGCACGAGAAGACAGGCGGATTGAGCTTACGGTTTGAGCAATGTCCTGCAGCTCAGAGGTGGGAAGCGGTGAATGAGACTATCTCGAGCGTTAGCAAGCTCCGGGCGTCGCCAGTTTTGCGAGGGGGAGGGGGGGTGCCTACAGCCATGGTGGAGATGGAGATGCTTGTGTCTAGGAATGCAGCGGACAGAGGAGGGAGCTGGAGAGAATTGGCCGAGGGAGAAGGTGACGGGCGAGCAGGCGTGGTGAGGCTGCAATGGGCGGGTGTTTACGTGTTTGGACAAGAGGCTAGCGTCGAGGCCAGTGCCCGCATGCCGACGTGGTTGCTTTGTTGCAAAGGAAAAAGCCCCCCATGCAGGTGCCGGGCCACGCCCAGGGCCCGCGCCCCTCGCCGCCAGCCAATCAGCGCCGCGCATTGCACGCCAATCACATGGGCGCATGCCGCCTCGCGATTGGCTGGCGGCACGCGGTGCTCGGGAAGAGGGCATGGGGCTGCTTCTGGGTTCATCGCGACCCGCAACATGAAGCAAGCTCTGCTTTCTTTCTGACGCATTTTTCCAATCCTCCCCATCTCTTCTGCTGTTCCTGCTCAAGCTGCGCCTGACTCTCCCTCGCGCGACACCGCTGGCTTGACACCTCCCCCCGGACTCCATACAAAAAGCATCGCAAGAGCTTCCCTCGCCAGATCCCAGTGGGGCTACCATACAAACCACCTCCGTCATGTCTACCCAACCGCTCCTCCAGACCGCGCCGGGTAAGTTCGCGCCGTTACATTTCTCGTCCTGTGGCGCATGGCAGCCCCTCGCTAACACGGTTTCCTCCAGGCAAGCGCATCGCGCTGCCCACGCGCGTCGAGCCCAAGGTCTTCTTCGCCAACGAGCGCACCTTCCTCTCATGGCTCAACTTCACCGTCATCCTCGGCGGTCTCGCAATCGGCCTGCTCAACTTTGGCGACAAGATTGGAAAGATCTCCGCCGGCCTCTTTACCCTCGTTGCCATGATGGCCATGATCTACGCTCTGTTTACCTTCCACTGGCGCGCGAGGAGCATACGGCTTCGGGGCCAGGGCGGCTTCGACGACAGGCTGGGCCCCACCATCCTTACTATCGCCCTGTTTGCCGCCGTCATTGTCAACTTTGTGCTGAGGCTCACCATGGGCGGCGACGAGCACAGCAAGCAGTAGAAAGGCCTATAACAGTCGGGATATGGGCCGTTCATGGGCGGAAGCGCACGGATAAACAAACACGACTGAATTGAGAAAACAAAACAACCGCTGTTGGTATGCCACGAGAAAGAATACATGTGGACATGCATGTGCATTACGTCGTTTGAAAGACTGATTGGAGATGAGGGCGCTGGAAGCAAAAAAGGAGCTGGGCGTTTCTTGTTGTTTTGGTGGAGAAGGCAGTTTTCTTTGGGAGTTTGTACTAATATGAATCAATGCAATTGTTTTTACGTCCAACCGCGGAGTTGAATCTAACATGGTGCTGGTATCAAGCTTGAAATCATCAGATATTCACGCCGTATACTCATTCCAGGCGTATGTTCAGCACTTGGATGTATACTTTGTTCCAGACGAGGTTCAAACTACAGAGGTATTCAAGTCAAGAGTGGTTTCTGTTTGATTTCAAACGGCAAGTCTAATATTACAGATTGCAAAAGGCGAGCCCCCATGACTACCAAGTGCTTAACTACAAAGACATCTGCGAACAGATCGTACAAGTAGAATAGAACGAAGGTCGAAAATACATCGATTCCATCATTGCCCTGCCATCCTAGAGCAATCAACGCCAACATCCGACGCACTGGCGGTTCTACCAGATAAAGCGCTGCAGTTTCCCAGGTTCGTTCGTCCACGTAAAAGTCCGGTAGAGAAACATGTATGCCACAGCCAGATTGATTGTGAGAAGCCATATCGTCTCCACAATCATGCGTACATCAAATGATGCCTTTCTGGTCGATGAGGTGGGGACATGCAATCGCCAGATGACCCACGGGAGGATAAAGTAACGCGGCTCTACCAGAGGCGCTGTGACTACCGACAGTGTAGTTGCGGCCAGCCAGATGACGACGAAGCTGACTTGACAAGGGTCGCGGCCTGTTGGGTTCTGCGTTGTATCAGTTTGGCGTTTGTCCTTGGATGCGCCTTTATTCACTGGTGAAGGTGCCGTCGGCGTGGCGAGAGCTCTAACAACCAGCCATGCGCAGACAAAGTAAACAGGCACTGCGAGATATCGCAATACGGGATACAGTCGAAGTAGCTTGAAGACGTAGAACACATAGTGTCTATTGTCAGCCAGGGTATAGGGATGGATGATGGTGTTGAAGTGGACTGCGAGTATAGCTCCAGTCATGAACAAGCCGGATGCAAGAAGCGATGGGCGGCCATAAGTGGAAGCGCTGAAGACCTCGTTGCAGGTAACTTGGGCTCTCTTTGGCAGTAACGGGACAAAGAGACTTAGCAGTGGTTCTATGAGCAGTGGAATCGAGAAGAGCGCAAAGTAGGGCCAGATGTACAGCATCTGCGGGACATGTATCGTGGCTGTATGCGCTGATTTATCGCCTACTCATGTTAGCTCTCTGGAATTCATGATACGCGGTAGCTGCTCACCTAGGACAACGCTGCCGTTCCAGACAACGAAACCAGCGAACAGAGCTAGGATAATCACATAGGGCACTGCAACCCTAAGGACAAGCAGAGGTTTTCTCAGGGCAGCGACTATCAAGGAAGCGAGGAAGATGATGACGTCTGTGGATAATTAGCCCATATCTTTTGGGTTTTTTTCTTGCGTACCTTGGAGTTCAGCATGCTGTATGGGTAGATCGACAATTCTTCCCGTGGCCCAACTATCTTGCAGCACTTGTGCGATATCGCGAGTACTCGACGTAGTTGAAGGTGCATCCGCTTTCAAGGCGTTTACAACGGCGAGTCCGGCCGGAAATACAGCAACCCAGAAAATGTTGGTCTGTCGAAAGAAGAGCGCGAAAATCCCAGATACAAGAACACTGACGCCGTGTATGAAACTTGAGGGTGATTGTGAGCTCGCCAGGTGCGCAGTATAAGCTAGCAATACGGCCAACGTAGACATGACATCGGTGTAGTACAGCCCAGAAAAGAAGAAGAGAGGAGAGAATAGGCAAATGTTAATGGCTGTGTGAATGTCGACAAAGGTCGGATCTTCAACGGAAGAACCTTTCTTGGAAACATCTCTGCTTTCGTGCAAAGGCTTGCCCGGGCTGGCGCGAAACCGTAGGATGCGTCGGATGAGATAGCTCAGGGCCAGGATAGCACAAAGAGCAACAGCGTTCTGAATACGCAAGGCCCGCGTTTCGCAACCCAAGAGAGGTTTGAAAAGTTTCGAGATTAGATATCTGGGTTAGTGGTAAGTATGTTTACGAGGACTACTTTCGCAAGTTGGTCGTACAGGCCAGGTGGTGTTGTAATCTTTGGATCCCACGAGTAGTCCCCCTTGCAGTATTTCTGAGCCTGAGGGACGTGGAAAAATTCATCCTGGCTTCATCAGTATCCAAGTATCATGCCAGCTTGCAGACTCACTAGATAGGGCTCTGGCACTAGACCTGATACACGCTCCACCCAATTGGCCGCAAGGCAGACAATCAAGATGACGGCACCGGGCAGAAGCCATACTTGCGTTAAAGAGGGCATCGGTGGCCTTTGCCTAGAAAGTAACAAAGGGGTCTTAGCGAGATGGAAGATTATCGGTGAGAGTACGTGACATGTAGACGTTCCTGAAGAAGCTAGTCCCAAGCCGGCCACTTGCCGCGGCGCGTCTTCACTCGGCTTGAACGACAATCCAAGGTGCAAGTAACGCGTCGCAACATGGCATTGCCTCTTCCACCGGGGCTGACGCCGCCCGAGATTGCTTTTCTGTGCGAAATGGAGCTCATCACAATCATACCGCGCCAAAGACTCGAGGGACTGGAGCTTCTGGGGGTGCGTATGCCCCTCCAACACCCCACCACCAACCCTCCATACGTGGTTTTGTGTAGCACAATGGCGCTGATAGCTACATAGGGACCCATAAGACCTCTCAATCCCCCCCACAGAACCAATGTGCCGCTCTGGCTGGCCCTCCTACTCAAGCGCCAGCGACGCGCAAATATCCTTCCACCGCCCTGGCTGAACACCCTCTCTCTAGCCGCAATCCTCGACCACGAAACCGAACACGCAGAGACCTTCTCTCCGCCTCCACGACTGCCCTCGCAACCCTCGAACAATACACTTCCAATTTCCCCTCCGTTTTTGCTCAATTCGACAGCAGACGGAGCACCAGATGCCTTGCCCTATCATTGGCTTGAGCTGGGTGAGATGCTGCTGGAAACAGCCTCAGACGACTTTGAAGAGCCAGACAATGTACGGAAACTATTGCGGGGACTCCGAGAAGTGCGCATGGCAAAGCTTCGGAGTGGATTGGAAGTGTTAGATGCAGGAGGTGGGTTCAAGATGAACGGTGTGGGTGCTATGGAGGTAGGAGAGGGCCGGGCATTCATTACTGGAGTCATTGACGGACTAAGGTTTGCAGTCTTTTCGCTTGTATATACCAATTTGCTGACCTTGAGCAGGAAAATTGCGGCTTCACGAGAACAACAGCGCAAGGACCGAGACCGAGAAGAGATGGAGAATGGGTACTCGGGCACGGCAGACTACGACGACGACGAAATGGACATGCAATGAACATCACGCAACTGACGCATGTTGAGAAATTGGAAAACAAGCCAACACCCTGCTGAGCGCCGGTCCAGACGGACGCTCATGGACTGCCGAAGCCGGATCTTTTTCTTGATTTCATCCGGAACATAGGAACTAGACCTTTCAAATTTGTAAGGCGACTACCTCTGAATAATTTATATTCGCCAGACGCAGGGCAGACAGCTAAAGCAGGGTCTGGACGATAATAGAGGATACTATAGACCGGGCTTGTTTAACGGCTCGAACCACGGGACTGAGGCGCGGGTCGGCGACCACTGATGCACGACAGGAAGATCTAGGCTGAAACACCAGAAACAGCTACGCCGAGGATCGACATGCGGTGATCATAAGGCGAGTCAATATCCTTAATGGAATCCTTGGGCGACAGTGCATCACTGCTGGGTATGAAGTTGGTCTCAAGGCCGTCAGTGGTGCATCATGCACACAAGCTGAAAACAGTCTTAATTGCGAAGGAGTATTAGCAGTATGTTTTTGTCGTGGAGATAGCTGGCACAAGCAGAATAGCATCAACACATGCACATACAGTTCTGTGCGAAGTTGCACCGACGGTGGCAACGCACACGCGCCCCGATGCGCCCAGGCTAATGTCCACCTGACAGGCTTGACCCCATATATATTAACACGGTATCTTCGGGAACGCCCAATAGTGAAGGGCATGCAAGCAAAAAAATAATGACCAGCTCGATTGTGAAGCGACTCATGCGAGTTTAATACGGCCGAGTAGCGGACGAGCAGGGGCCGCGCATGGATGGCAAAGCCGGTTCGAGGCCCCCTCGCCCCTTCGGCAAGACCATGCCTTGACAACGGTTGCGTGACAGCAACCGGTAGAAGGGAATACCCTGGGAGAAGGACCCCCGGTAGCACCAGTTGTACGAGGGCAACGGGCGAGGGGTGCGAAGGGAGGCTGCTATGGAAGCTGTCAGACGGGACCGCCGTGATCAGCAATCAGTCCATTTTCTCCCGCGTCGCGTCATCTTTTCTTCGCGCCTAGTATCCCTTCTCCTACCTCGATACCTGGTCCTTGTTGGTTGCATCGGCAAGCCGCCTCCTCTTGTTCTCTGCATCTCCGTCGTCACTGGGGGCACACCTTGTTATACTTGTACAGGGGGGGAGGCTTCATCGCTTCGCCATTACCACATCACAAATTAATAATGAAATTCTATTCACACTTTGTCATAGCACGTCGTTGTACGCCACGGCTGCTTGGCTGTCGTGGTCTTGTGTCTGATATTGTCGTCGCCCAGCATATGTGTGTGAAATATGTACGTAATATGGATCCGGTGTTTGTCGCCCGGATATATGCAGATCGGACAGAGCCACATCAGCACAGGAAAGAAGGAGCTAGTGCACACACACACACACACATTATACATGCATTTTGAGAGTATTGCTGTGTGAGGTGGCACTGCACATTACAACCTGCAAGAATGAAATATGCAAAAGCAGTGAGAGGAACAGTTAGCAATGGCATGAGAACACATGTTGAGTACAAGTTCTTATATCCCAGTTGCGGAAGCATATATGTCCATTTGCTTATTTATTTAACGTGGTTCACAAGCGAGCGGCCCACCCAAGCGAGCGGCCCGGCCAAAATCTCACCAAAATCTACATCTAACAGGGGTCTTTATCTTAATAACTATATATTAGAATCTTCTAGAAATCTTATATATCCTTTATGTTTACTTATAGACTATATATATAGAGATTTTTAAGAAATTCTATATAGTAGTTATCAAGATCCTAATTTTATACTCCTATTAAACTATAAAATAGTTAATAACTACTTAGATATTATAGCAACTCTAATAAAACTTTAATATTATATTTATTATATAGATGCAGCTATTTCCTAAGATTTTTAGACTATTCTAATATATAGTTATTAAAATATAGTCCCCTATTAGTTGTAGATTTTGGTGAGATTTTAGCTGGGCCGCTCGCTTGGGTGGGCCGCTCGCTTGTGAACCACGTTATTTATTTATTTATTTATTGATTTTCTCATTCGTTGATTCGTCGATTCGTTTATTCATCCATCACACCACATGCTCTCCTCTCCTCTCCACTCTCCAATCCCCCCCCACACACCCAAACCACCATTCATCTACCCCATACACTCCTCTCCCTTCTCCCCCAACACTCCCTCGCTCCCTCGCTCCCCTGTACTGAAAACCAGGCAGCACACACGCACATCCATACATAGATACGTCGATCCAGAGTTTCGCTAGCGCTGACAAGATAAGTACCACGTTGTTCAAACTTTAGCTAGGTATTTTGGGACTCTTTTTTTAATCTACTTCATACATACTGCAGCTACACGAAGATGAGGGAGAAGGAGAATGACAATGAGGATAAGGAGACGATATAAGGGGGAGCGCGGTGCGGTGCGGTGCGGTGCGGGAACGTGTGTGTATGCATGTGTGTAAGGATGTATGTATGTAAGACAACTAAGTAGACACTAAGACAAGCCTGGGTATCAAAGGAGGGGGGAGGGCGGAGGTTAACATTACCGTATTTAGTTACTCTCCTTTACTCTACTGTGCATGTATGTAATGTCCATCTGTACTGCCGATTCGCGTTCCCGATCTCCTTCCCTCCATCCTTCATTCGTTGCATTAACGTTTTCGGATTTCCCTTCTAGTGGCTCCAGTGCTGCATGCATCGGTATGTGGAGGGAAGAATCAAGGGGGCGGGGGAAAGTAAGCTTATGGTACAGATGTTTAGGTAGGATCCCTTTTTTCTTTTCTTTGTGTGTTATTGGTTCCCCGGATCCAGGGACCGTGGTGGCGGGTACGAGGGGCTAGGAGAGAGAGAGAGAGGGGCGGATAGCGGCAGATGGATAGTAAGAGAGTGAGAGGTGGGGTGGGGTTTGAGGGGGGAAGATGAAGAGAGGGAAATGTGGGGAAGGAGATGGAGGGGTTTTGTTGCTACTACTACTCCTACTGCTGCTACTACTACCGCTGCTGTTGTTGATACTGCTGTTATCACTACTGCTATTGTGAATGCGAAAATATCTACATATATACACCGGATGTATCGGGAACCACCTACTCATTCAAACTGCACTCACGTCAAGGCAAGTACTAGAATTATCCAACCGCCCCAAAACGTCGCACCCGCCCCTAGAAAATTTTCACACTCGCCTTTTTTCTGTTTGTTTTTCGCCGACATGGTGTCGTGTCTTGGTGTCGCGTGTGCATATGCATGTATGTGTACTACGTGTATGTATGTATGTATGTGAGTGTAGGGGTGTGTCATGTATGTATAAGGGGTGAGGGCGGGGGGAGGGGTTGCGGATAACAACACCACCACTACGATAGCACACGCTAAAAAAAGAGGGCGGGTACTGGGAAGGGGGGGGGGTGATCTTCACTCGGGATTACTGATTCCATGTATGTAAGTATAGGTTGGGTGGGTATACGTATTGATAGGCAGACAGGTGCAGGTACATACATGTACATGCATGCATGTGCTCGCACGTGGGAAACAGGGCGAGCAATCGGGAGTTTTTTTATTTTCTTGCCCTCTTCCGCGCGCGTGTTGGATATCTACCCCCTACCTACGCATCTCCACCTCCACTTCCCTTTGCACTTCCACACTCCGCCCCCCCCCCCCCCAAAACCCCTCCATGGGACATGCTATGTCCGGATTCATATGTGCGCATGCACATCCATACTCGATCCGTCCAACACTTCACCAGCAAGCATGTTGCCGTGTGTTGGATTGGTGCTGACCACCCTCAATTACTACCCCCCCTTCAACTGGCACCAAATCAACTGCTAGCTAGCACCCAACTAAACAGCTACCTACATCCAGCTAGCTAAGCTAAGCTACGCTACCACAGCATGTACACTATCCGCTGCACGCACATACTGTAGATAGGTTCTAGTCTCCCTAGATACGAGCGCAAACGCCGCATTACACGATTTGGCTCGTTCCCCCACGAGCCAGACTTTCCCTTTCTGCAAGAGGGGAGGGGAGGGGGGGGGAGGGGATTGGGAACTAAACTGGGGGGGTTAGATGGGGCAAACAGCTACCCACTTTCACTTGCGTTTGGCCGAATGGGTGTGTGCATGTGCATGTGCATGTGCGTGTGGGTAAGTAGGGTAAGGTGGGCGCGTAAAAAAGAAGATGCAAGGTACATAACGCTTGGTGTTCCTGCGTATCTCTTTTTTACGATTTTTCGTCTTCTTGGCGATTCGGGGAAAGGGGTAGCGGACGGCAGCTGTTGAGTTTTGGAGACAGAGAGAGAGAGAGAGAGGCACTGATTGGTTGGTGGGGTGAAGTTGCTGCTCGTAAGTAGGGTTGATTGACGGGTGGCCTTGGGCCTCCAGACAACACACACAACTCAGATTCACAACTGAGAGGAGATGTAGGTGCATGATTGGGGGAGGCTGTGTTGGAGTAGGCAGGATCGGACATCAGGATCGGGTTTGGCCGAGGGGGAAAGGGGTGGTGGGTGCGCGTTTGTGAGATTGGCAAGAGGGTAGGGTAAATCGCTAGATACGCAATCGATGGTATTTCGGTGGTGATGGGTGTGCGGACTCTTGCCGCGGGTCGTGTGTGAGTGGCGAGAGCAAAAAAAAAGGGCTCTCGGCGGATGTGCGTGGATGATGTGCGGTGGATGCCAACGACCACGGGGGATGTGCGCGCATACTTTGTTTCGAGACGATGTATGTGCTCCCGTGGGTGGGATGATGTGACGAGACATTGGCCATGGATGGTGGGTTTTAATTTGCCATGCTCGTACTGCATCGTGGAACCATAACCCCAACTACCGCGGCAGGATATCTGATAACCGTTATCGATATCAACGTTTGACCAAGGCAAATACATAAAGAGTGCCAAGTTCCGGCAGGCATTTCCCTTGCTTTTGCACGGCCTGGTTCGATATAGCGGCCATGGTGATAGAAACAACAAACTTGCATCAGCGGGCTCACGGCTCCGACAGACGCGTGGCCATGCCC